CCAAAACAGGGCTAGGTACCTAGGAAGATGTGTAAAGTGGTTTCTTCAGTTTTTGCAGTATTGTGAGGTTACTTAGCTCCTCATTATAACTGGACTTAGATAACCAATCCCAGGGTTGCTGTAAATGTTGGTGTGGAGTTGGCATATAAATTATATTCTCTAAGAATTATCTACTTCTAATAAAAAACACATTATAGTAATACTGTAAAGACCCTTATTTTCGCGATTTTTGCAAGCCTGTCGTAATTGCAAAAATTCAAGCCTCGCGAAATACTTTTTCTTTCCACCTCAAATAATAATAAAAAATCGAATTTTTCACTTACCCAAAATTGAATGATTTATTGCACAGTTACAAGCTTTTTCTTGACAACTTTCTTTCTTATAACTATTTTTTAATAATATACAACTATGTTTCTTGAATATAAAACAATAAAATTAATAGAAGGCTGCTCATTCACTTAGAATACTATTTATACCAGCTTCTTTGAAGACATTCAAAATTATCTCATGTTTTGCTTCAATACTGTTAAATGCGCGCACAAGCCAAGAAGCGTGAATCAGTTTTAGTCATGATAGTCACAAGTCTACAGATTCTTTTTCCTCTAGAAATTGAAGCTCATTGGAATACCACTCAATAAACTCATTCTTGAGCAAACGCTTGAACTCTCCATTTACAGTTAAGTCCAAAGGTTGGAGCTCTCCTGTGCAGGAAGCGAGCACAAAAACTGGAATAATATTCCTCATCTCTGGTTCAGTCAAAAAAGAGGATCTTGGTGTGCCTTAAAAACGTCGAACAATGCTACACCAGGTTTTTCTGGAACTAGCCCAAGCTCTCTCTCTGCTTGTTGTAATAAGGTACAAGAATATTGTCGATGTATCGAATCATTGTGTCAGTATTACTCCAGTGCGAATTGGTGTGCCACACGTCCCATTCCGTGGGAAATGTAAACTTTGCATGACAATTTGTTGTTTTTCCAGCGAACAACAATTGTGGAAGTAGGTTTCCAGCAAGGGAACTGCTAACAAAACAGTTATCTGTCTTTTATCTTCCATGCCGATTACAAACACTTGTTTTGAACCACATTCTTCCAATGTGTAATTAGATGTAGGCACAAACTTTGCATTTGTCTAATCAAAGTTAACGAATATCTCGGGGTGGAACAACATTTTTGTCAATCACTGTAGGTACACGCTTAACAAATTCGTCGCAAATAACTGGGAAGTCTGGGGGCAGTTTTCATGCAGCCTTTGTTCCCTTTCTACGGACAAAGTTCATTCTTTCCAGCAGGCTTCTGGCCCATCTTGGGTTCAAATCGAAAGCATTTAGTAGAGATGGATCATGTGATTTCACAATTCCTTTTGCAGCTGCACTAACAATAGTGCAGTTAACTATTCCACCAGCAATCCGCAATTTATGTATATATGTTTGAATGCTTGCATTGAAATCAGAATGTTTTAAGGGGCGACCGCGATTACCGTGTGGTAAAGTTGTTACATCAACTTTAGCTTGTTTAGATGCTTGAATGTACTGTTTGTTTATGCTGCGAATGGTTGATTCACTCGCCAGCCTTCCCAGTTCAGAGGTGAAATGTTTCACTGCTACAGAATTTTCAGTTCCAGTAGCATATCGGCCCATTTTGGACCTCAGCACCACTGCTGCAGAATTTTCCGTTCATAGTAGCATATCGGCCCATTTTGGACCTCAGCACCACTGCTGCAGAATTTTCCGTTCATAGTAGCATATCGGCCCATTTTGGACCTCAGCACTTTGTCATATACTGCATACTGCCAAATTTCATTCCACGTTTTGCTTTCAAAGCAGTAGAAACCTCAGTATTAGCGGATGTTATTTCTTTTGATTCAACAAACGACTTAACAGTTCTTGCATCCAGAAGGCCTGATGGCGCTGGAGCTCCTATAAGAATTTTCTCTCCCTTGTCCATCAACTTGTACAAGTATTTACACATTTTTTTACGGCTCTAATAACACATTCTCTTCTCAATTTTCTATCTTTCATCTTGTCAGAACATTTGGCAAAAGCCAACATGGCAACGTATTCCTCTGTCGCGGAGCTCCTGCTAGAAACAACTTGTTCCAGCAGGTGTTGGGCATGGACGATCCGATTCCGAGAAAAGCGAAGGTGGTGGGGTGATTACACTTTCAGGTGCAAAAGCGGGAGGAGAATGTGCATGTTGAGCCAAGGTCAAAATTGATAAGCACCGTAGGTTGTTTTAAGAGTGATGGGGGAGGGGGGACAGACTTTTCGGACAAAAGGAAGTTTCTTAAAAATGCTTTATGCAAAAGATATACTTTTGGAATTTTTCAACTTTCAGTTCTGTTCATATAAAATTCACGAAATTTTCAGCTCGCGAAATCACCGATATATTCATTTTCACGAAAATTATGGCCCGCGAAAATAAGGGCCTTTACAGTATATAAAAAGAAAACTTTTTTCAGTTCTGTTCATATAAAATTCACGAAATTTTCAGCTCACGAAATCACTAATATATTCATTTTCACGAAAATTACGGCCCGCGAAAATAAGGGCCTTTACAGTATATAAAAAGAAAACTTTATTAAATAAGATTAATTGTAACAAATCTTACCGCATTCTACAAAACCATAGTAAACTCTCTAGATTGCCAAATACATTTTTAACTCATCCTTTTACAATTTAAGAAAATAACAATGTTGCCAAAATATTAAAATTTAAAATTATACTTTATAAACAAATATCAGTAAAACGTATGTCTTAATCACATTATATTAAAATGCGATATTCTGTGGTCCATAAGATCATTAGATCTATCAGTATGTAATACATTCCTCGAAATGTAAGATGTTTCACCATCTGCATCTGCAAAACATGAAAGTTAAAAAGTTGATGCATTTATGTAAACATGTTACATTGTGTAATAGGTGACATAAATGAGCAAATTAAAAACAGGTTGTGTATAGGAAAGATGGCCACATTTCAAGATGTAGTATTAAGAAACTAGAGTTTCTGAAATTCTAGAGTATTTGTAGAGAGTTTCTGGTGCTTGAAAGCTAGAAGTAAGTAATATATTTGCAGAGAAAGTACAGGTAAATACTTCCATGTATACTTTAAATTGGGAGTAAATGCTTTTCTTTGAATGAAATATTGCAGAATTTTTTATTTGTAACACATGCAAAAATTTATAAATGTGTATTAAAAACATTTTTAAAATTCTGGAAATGTTCTTCAAATCTCATTGTTAATGGTTTTGAAAAACTTTTTCTAACCAATTTTTAGGAGTTTTTGCAGTGGTGAGATACTTTAAACTTTCCGATACTTTTCTGAAGTAAAAAAAAAATTTCTCATTGTGATTTGGATGCTCACAAAATGTCTGTGTTTGTTACTAAAGGGGTTACCGAATTGCAATGTAGTTGTAATTAAGCTAGCCTCATTTTTGTGTTAATTTTATTTGAAAGCTCTCACTTTGTTTCTGCAGTAATTTGTACTGGGAGATATTTAAATGGTACTTGAGAAATCTGTTTTAGATATTTATTCAATATTTACATGTTCTGCATACAGCAGTGTTTGTAACTTAATTAATACAATTTAAAAAGTACATAGGATTTAAACTCTTCTACTTAAGCATTCAGTTAATACCCTCTGAAAACTACCAAAGCTGAGCCCATGTTCACTCAATTCACATGCTAGTGCCTTTTGCTCTTCCTCTTTACTACCGACAGTGAGAGGAAAGCTGTGAGTCAGTCATGACATGACAGTGTTATTGCTATTTCTTAGCATAAATTTCATTTTATACGACACGCATCCTTCACTAACATAAAAATTTGACTCGACTTCAAACTTTTTTAAACTGACATCATTAATTAATGAATTAAAAAAAAAATTCATTGCTTTTCTGATAATAATGTGAATCAAAAATATCTGAAAAAAAGCATGTTAATACATATTGTCTATTATAGACCAACAGTGGCCAGTTGGATAATACCTGCTGAATGCTGACAGTTCATCTAAATTCAGTTTTCAATGGTTATGCAGACTGGCTCTGTAAGCATTTCTGTGATCTTTATATGTGAATTGAACACAAGCTAGTTTAGAAAGTTCATTAAAAAGCTAGAACTTCTAAGGTAGCCCCTAAGTACTTTATTACTGTAAATTACCTTGTTGTCATTTATTATAATCAAATCTACATTTGCTGCATCAACGAGGTACACTGATAACAGTGTTTAGCTCCAGTACTTCTCAGTTTTAGAGAACAACTTTAATTACAACTAGAGTGACCTGGAGCCCCAAACAAACTGAGTTCTTGTAATTTATTTTGTAATTGAATAACATTATTAGTAGAAAACTGGCTTTACTGCTACATTTCTTTCAATAATAGTATGCCTACATTAACTACTAGATGCATGCCTGATTAGTAAATACAAATTTAAGATTTTTAAAGTAAAGAGTATAAAGAGAATCAAGCATGAATTGTTTAATAACAGGAATATTTAAGGGTCATATGCATGGGATCAAGAAATCTTTTAAGTAGATTACAGAATTAGGCAAACATTTTTATGCATGTGTGAATGCTGCTAAAAGTATTTGAATTTCTTTTATCCTCAGTACCATGTATTTTTACCATTAATTTACTGACCTTTCAGTTTAATATTTGGTTTTATCATACATTATTTTTTCGTTAACATATTTACTATTTATTAATATTTCTATTTATGTTTACTTGTTTGATTTTGAGTAATTTGTAATTTTTAGTTTTTGCTCACCATTAATTTTGCCCTTCCAGAGAACTCTAAACTTCTAATTCTAAAATTTATGCCTTGACTTCCATAACAGGTTGAATCAAAATAGAAATTAAAGATATCAGTTTCTGATTTATATAAATTTCAAATTATTACCTCAAAAGCATATGTTTATTTTTTTGCTACATGCTCCTTATTTATGAATGTATAGGTCTTGGACATTTTACATATGACTTATTTGAATTATAAATATTTTTGAATTTCAGGGAGCTAGAATTAGTGGAAGGTACTGTAAGAAACAGAAAGCAAGAAAAATATTCTGAGTTTAGTTTTATCTGTGATGATGAATGATAAATCTTTATTATATTTATGTGAGGTTTTATTTTGCATAGTTGCTGATTTGCATAAATTAATGTAATTTTTGAACTTTGTTTTGTAAAATTTTAAATGTTTTCTTTTAAAACTAAGAAAATAAAATTTATTTTTACTTATATGTGAATAAATTATTCAATTATCTTTGATTTTACATAAACAGTGCTTTTCAAATGATGTTTAATGGAATCATATGATTCTGTGTGGTAAAATCAAGGGCTTTACAGAAAGCATTTTTAAAAATTTTGTGGTTACATATATATTTGGCCAATGAAGCTTAACATAGTCTTTTATTTTTACTACGCAGCTGTAGTTCTGCAGTGTCCTTGTTACTGTAGTCCAGACTTGAACACGCGTAGTATGTGCAAATTCGAGACTGTATGGACTAGGACTGTGCGCCGTGAATTGTTATACTATATGTTGAAAGTTTCATTGCCATTCAATTGCTCGTAATTTTACAAAATTAGGTTCTTAGTGCACTCTGGAACCAAAATGAAATATCAAGTTTTATTTGAAACAGCTTGAACAATTATTATGGACTTAAAGTGTATATAAGAACAATTTGTCATTCATGATAAAAGAAAATATTCTGCTCATTAAATTATATTTTCATGTTTTGAATATTGTGTATTAAAACTAGAAAGACAGGATTTTTTTCTCTTCTAAAAAATCTAATGTGGCGATCCTGATACTTATGCCACTGCACCAACTGCTGTCTGACCACAATTAAAAAGAAGATTTCAGTTTTGGAAGTTGTTTAATTTTTCTCCTTACATTTAACCTTTTCCTAGGGGCTGTGACATATATGTCCCGAGCAAAGTGTACGGCAACTGGGGGCAGTTTTTCTTTGGTCGCAGAGGTAGGAATTCTAACGTTTGAGGCTTTACGACTATTTTACGACACCCTAACGAGTGTGTTCTTTTGCGGGATTCCGCTAATGGGTAGGGGTAATTGTCTATAATTTGAACCCACATGGCTTGTTTGCGAATTCGTTGTCTTCCGAGAAATATTTTCTCGAGGAGAAAGTAAAAAGACTAATTTGTTACTTTGATTCTGGCGCGTTTGCATTTTAAGATATTACTTCAATTTTTTTTCTTTTGCAAATACCGTTATAAATTCTTTGAGTTGATATTTATCGTTTTTTCGAGTTCGGTATTAAATAAAGGCTAAACGTACAGGAAATTTTCTTTGTTTCATTCTTTTTATAATTGTTTATTTCAATTTATTCCTTTTTTTAATGTGCATGTAAAGGCAGTGTTATGAATATAAATGTTTCAGGTGATGAAAATTAATTTTAATGTTATTTCTAAATGACATACATTCCACGAGTGCTGTTTACTTGAGTGAAATTTTGGTTTTTTATGTTCTAAATTATAACTAGCGGCTGAGCGGATAAAATTTTTTTAACACTAATAATTCCACCCATGTTCAAATTTCGAAGAACAGATTGACTGCATGAACCTTTCGTATTCGTTCATGTATATGAGCCAATTTCCTTTTAACGTCCTCCACGAAAGCCCCCTTCAATTAGGCAAATAATCTTTTCTTTTATCAGACGAATGAAAATAAAATTATATTCGAAATAAGAAAGCTATATTCATGAGTATCTCATAACTATATTTAGAAACCCTTCCTTTTATGAATAATTTTGATGACAAAAGGAATTTCGACCGTGCGACAAATGAAACACGAATTTTTATTAAAGCATATAGTGAAGAACATTTTATAATTCAAAAATGTTTCAAAACTTATTAATTGATCCGTTGTGATATGTTTGCGTCTATAAGATGATATCTGTATCAATTCTTTCAGAAAGTAGATACGTTAGTTTAGATTAATTAAACATGGGAAAACACACGAAGACTGCCTTTCTAAGGAAAAGGATGCCCTCGAGGAGAACTTTTAAGGGAAACTATCTCGTATTCACATTTTCTATGGGGCAAACAACGAAAACCAACCATGCAACCAACCCAATCGCCTGGCCTCGAACCCAAGTCGAACCACCAGTATTCAGCAGTCTTCACTACTCAGTCACAGATAGTGTTCAGAAAGTAATTAATATTTACATGAGAATTGTATTTTGGAGGGAATCAAACGATATATTAGGATACTAAGGATGTATAGAGTAATTGAGATGTGCACTATTTTTTAGTTCCTGAATTTAATACTCAGTACGATTCTTTATTAATATTCATCAACTCACTACGAATCTTCATTCCGAGCTTCATTACTCCGAAAGAAAGCAACAATAAAAAGCTTGAGATCTGAAAATTTCGCATAACAATCTGATACCTCAAAGGCGATTTTAGCATTCTGAAAATGTAGATCATAAAAACTGAAGGAATATTTCCCCATTCGACAAAAATCTTTATTTTTTTTAATTTAATGGGTTCCTGAATATGCAATTTTGCTTTTAAAGAAAATATGCAGCAACAGTATAAATCGACGAACAACTATTTCCCTTCTATTCTAAGGTGAAAGCAATATATAATATCTCTAAATGGTAAACCTAAATTTTTGTTATTGAATACATTGAAACTCAACAAGTTTCAATGTATTCAATAATTATTCAATAATAATTCAATATTGTTTTCTCAACCTCCAGCGTTTTCTCCTGCATTTCTTTACCAAACCCAAAACTGTGAAGCGGTTAAAATACTTAAAGATCTTATATCCCTGATATGAAGGCAGATCAAGCCTGGGAACGCTATTTGCAACGTCACATGGAAGAAAAATTTATTTAAAAAAATTCTTACCTCGTGCAATGGTAAATTTTTGTTAGTGCACGTTTGTTAGTATTGTTCAATAATGATTCAATGCAGCACAAATGCAGTTACCAATTTCTTTTTCTCCAGAAAGGAATTTTACAGAAGTGTAAATCCAATAACGCTCATTTGGGAACTCGAAAATGCTTTCTAAATGACACTTGTAATAATTAAACTGTATTTAATTTGCACTTCAATATCAGGATAAATATAATACTTAAAATGAAAATCTATATATTGTTTGAAGGATATATTTGAATATTTTAAATCACTAAATTCTCTATATTGTGACAAGTGAATATAGGTAACTCTGATTACTTTGCTTATTTTTCAGTACATAACGTATGTGCAAGTTTAAAAGTTATTTTAACCAAAAAATGAACAAAATTGTCTAGTTGTAGCATAAAACATTTCGTCTGAAAATAAAACAATAAATTACGTTTCGTGGGAAAATTGCATACATCTATCTGCAGTGTGAAAGTGATTAGAATACTTCCTTCATTCTATCACCTAGAGCTTTGGAACTGGACCAAAAAGAACTGCTGACTGTTTCTCTGCCTGCCAACAAAAGAGCACTAATCACCTCGTCGTTAAGACTCGATCTGAAAATTTTCCCCCCTTTCCCTAACCACTGAGCGAAGAGCCTCAGTGAAGGAGCACAACTATTTTTCGAGCCCACGTGAAAATGTTAAAGAACTACAAGTGAGTTTAAAAACATATTTTTTATAATTATATGTTTATCATTTTAAATGGGCTTACCAGATGTCCCAGTTTGATTGGGATTGTCCTGGTCAGAAAACAGGGTCCTAATGATATCTTGGGTATATTGTAATTTTTTCCTGGTTATTTGTTAAAAAATTTTTAAATGTCTCCAACTTGTTCATTTCTATCATTTTTTAGATCATTAAATTAATTGCATGAAAGTTGTAATGGAAAAATTCTTTGTTTTCGTAAAAGTTTTTTTTTTTTTTTTCTCCTTCCCAAGTATAGAATTAGATCATAGAAAAAGGTTGTCAGAATACTGAAATTGAAGAATAATGATATAAAAGGAAAATTTTAAAAATTAGTATTGATTAAATTATGATTTATTTTATAAAATACAAAGGTAAAACATATATACTATTGAAAATATTTGCGCAATGTAATATTTTCCACCACTGTCGAATGATTTCAGTAGAAACTAAATTTTCAGATTTATCACTATCTGCAGAGGAATCCGAGAAATTCTCATCAGTTTCGCTATAACTATCTTCAATATACTTGAAATCAGAGTTAGAACTACTGTCAGTGTCGGAAACATCGTCAGGAATATAGGTCATATTACTCGCGAAACGCTTTCTGCCAGACATCTTTGAGCTCTGAAAAGCGCTATATTACGTGGTCTTGTATATTTGGCAGAAATGTGGACGACTAACGCCATCTATTAGCCCACATCTAAATAAACCTTGAACGGGGAAAGAGATGGTTTCACGGTTAAATAGACTGCAAAAATTCATCCCCGCGGGAAATCGCGGGGATGCGCAGCGAGAGAGTTAAGAAGCAATTAAGAATAAAGTGCAGAGATAAAGTTGTCCCTTGTTAAAGAGACGTTAAGAGTTTTTAAAGAGTTAAAGAGCAGGGTTCCTCCGGTTAGTGCCCTTACGCATTGTTAACACGGAGGCGGTTGGGGTTCAAAAACGTGAGATAGGCATCCACTTGGGTGTCCGTGTGTACTTACCGGCGCCGTTTAAATGGCTATTGAGCATAATCAGGTAGTGAAATAGCTCTGTGTGGCTTTTTTGAAGAGGCAACCGCAAGATCATATACCGGCAAGGTATGTAATACTGTGTTTCCAACAAGATGGATGTTTTTGAAAAATCTTTCCGAAAGTCGCTGTATAAAGCGATTAATGGGCATAATTTTGAAATTGTTATGAATATCATTGTTCCTTACGATCCATGGAGCGTTTAATATCTGCCATAAATTTTAGATTGAAAAATTTGGACGTGTTTACAGTTAGCCAGAGCAGCTGAGCCCCAGATGGGATTCGCGTAAGTAAGACTAGGCCTTTTTATTGATTTATAAAGCAAGATCTTGTTGTCAAGTGACAGGTCGGTATTTTTAGCGAAAAAAAGGGTGCAGGTTGACTTTGGCAGCTTTCGCATTCGCAATGATTTTTTTGGATGTGAAGTTGCCGTGTTAATTTTGAGTCTAGTAAAACACCAAGGTATTTGTATGAAGTTAACCCAGAGAATAGGCTCACCGAAGAATATGAGGTTAAAAATCTAAACGTGGGATATTTCTTTGGTTGAATTAAGTGGCAGCACATTTAGCGACATTAATTTTGATTTTATACAGTCCGAGCCAGAATTCTAAA